TCTAAGACTATCACTTTATAACCTATTTTCTCATTGAGCTCTTACTCGATTTGAACAAGACTATATTATTGTTCTCGCAGAATAAATAGAACACAAACTCACAAAATTTTTGTCCAACAATTCCTGAGCTATTTTTCCTAAACATGAAGGAATACAATTTTGTTCATAAAAGGACTAGTTGTCTATCTCATGGACAACTACAATTCAATTGTCCTTCGTATGCAAATTACAGTCTACCATTTTGATGAAAGAAGAGATCACTCGATGATGATATTTATTTTTATGTTTTGAATCATCGTCTATTCTAAAAGTTTAAGTTGTTAGGAAGAGTGTAATTCAAGTATTTATTTTTTTACATAACTCCTCAGATATAGGCTGATTTTATGTCTAGCACATGAAAAACAATTTATGATCAGGTGGCGACGAGACCTTAACATTGGACTTCTGCTCTGATACTATGTTAAACTATTATTTATTCTAAAAGTTTAAACTGTTAGAGAATGTGAAACTTATGAATTTGTACTTTTAACATTTCATATTACATGTGTAAGAGGTTTGTTAATTGTTGAGTGGGGATCATGTAGTTTAATTGTGCAAGCATTATATGTATGTCACGACTGCACATGTTTAAGAGGTTTGTTAATTGTTGAGTGGGGGTCATGAGTGTTTTGGAAGCATCGGTTCCTTTAGCCCTTCCTTCTTCTACTGCTCCCCTTTTGTTATTGGATCTATTTTTTACATCACATTCTTGAATTTGTTGTTTATGGTGTTCTAAATATAGTAAAATTACTTATTAAAATCTCTTATTTATATCATGCAACTTAGAATAATTATAAAGAGTCAAGAACGAAATAGTTAAACTAGTATGCACGAAACAGTTATAAGTATGTACGAAATAGTTACACATAAATTTGTAATCAAACCAATATATAAACTAACCCGTTTGCAGATCAAGAACTTTTATTGAAATTTCTTTAGATCAAGACTAGTGTTTTTTTTATTTGTTTTGGGTACATTGGAAAATTAAATCAAAACTAAATAGACTTTCTAGTAAATGCAACACTAACTAAATCTGTATTCAGCAGGCTCCCCAGTTGAGGTGGGGGATCTTCAAGAACCTCCATGGCATCTTCTTGTTGGACTCCCAAGTTAGCAAGGAAATCGGCACACTGGTTTCCTTCCATGCGTGTATGCACAATATGAATTCTATTCGCCTCCATTAGCTAAAAACACTTGGCAATGAATGCCCCGCTGGGGTGTGTTTCTTGTGGCTTAAAAACAAGAAGACTGGATAACTCGAGGGAATCTTTTTCGACCATCACTGGTCCTAACCCTCTTCTTTGGACGAGTTCAAGGCCCTTCAGGATGCCCCAAAGTTCCGCTTGCAAGCTCGTAGAGTCCTCCATTCTTCCATAGAACCTAACCATCAAGACTAGTGTTTGACACTATATCTTTAAGACAAATTTTGCCGTCACACTTGGTGCTTATAGAAATCAAAGCGTTTGTCTCCCAGTATACAATGATATTCATGCGAATAGAAGTAGTACTCTAATCTACTCGTTCAAAGAACTAGAAATTGTGTTGTGTACTGTCAAATGCAAACTCCTAATGTCAAAAATAGGACTATATGAGACGCCTTAAATGCCGAAATTCAGTGATGCATAGTGGAATTAATCTGGGTATAGAGAGAATAGTGAGTGATCCGGACAGTCATCATGTCGAACGGATACAACCCAGACAAGACTCTCCTTTTTGGAGCGAAAATTCCACATGCAATGTCGGTGACTTGGAGAATAAGGTTAGGTACTGGGTACACATGAGATCAGACTAGCCAGCAAAGAGATCATCCGAAGGCCACGACGACAGACACGCTTTAGATAAAAGGTCGGTCAGCTAGACCTAGTATGGCTTCGGAAGTACACTAGAAGGCTAATCTTGTTCACTCACCTTCAGATGTTTCACCTTCGGTATTGCACAATCAATTGAACCGGACGAACCTAACTCTTATCTATGTTTGTACTAACCTTGATAATCTGTCACAGTACCTAAAAAGACACATGATTCAGGATCAGGATAGAAAAAAATTGGAAATAAATTTACGTTTATTGAAGGTGAAGTTTGGAAATAGAACAATTCCTTCTGTCGTGTTTCAGAAGATACCATTTTGTTTTACTGTTTACTCTTGAACAGATATAACTAAAATTTATTACTAAAGGGAACACTAATTTGAATCAGTGTGAATTTTAAATCCAACGGGTGCCGAAATTATATTTCGAATTAAGAAATTCACACTCAATTTTTTAAACAAATTTTTTTTCAGAAAGATAAGGTTTGGTCTAACCAACACCTGTGTCCAGCTGGGCTGGATCGTGGCGAAGCAAGCGACGCACGTGTTTGATTGAACTGAAGGCATGTAGGCATTTGCTCCGCTCATAAAATGGTGGTACCCCTTGGTGTCTAATATCATAGAACAAACTTGGCCTATTTATACTTATGTAGAATTTTTTCCTCAACTAATGTGGGATTCATGTCAAATCCCACATTGCACAACTTCTGTTTCCATACGAGTGGGGCTATTTCCACCCCCCACAAATTTCTATTCTCACACCATTTAATTTCTCATTATCAAACTTCTAAGTTCATCCCTTCTATACCCACCTCATTAGTAACTAAGTCCACTTCATACTACACACACTCCTTTTAATAATTGAACATACTTTATATTTTGACATAATTAGAGCTTTATTCTCTATCTCATTTCATGCGCGCACAAAAATTATTTTTCAATATGAAATTTTTCAATAAGATACAAGTTAATATTAGTTCTCAAATTAATTCTATGTTTGATTTTATGTTTGTTATATATATTTTTATTATTTTCGTTATGTTTTGATATTTCTGTCATATTTAATAATTTTTGTATTTAAAATTTATATGCGTGTATATATATATGTATATTTTCAGATTATTTATTTTTTTTATCTTGTTAAAGTTCTGCATCTATATTTGTTTTTTATTCTTATTTGATTTTGTATCTATGCTTGATGCTTATTTTTTTTTTTTATACTCGGTTTTGCATCTTGTAGTTTTGTTTGTTCCTTTAATCTTTACTTAGTTTTTTTTTTCTTCTTGTTTCGATTTTCTTCTTTTTTTTGTTTTTTCCTTGTTCGTTCTTTTATTTTTTTTTCTTACAATGACTTCTTTATTTAAAGGAGTATACATAGATTGACTGAGTTTAACTATTAACGGGGTATATGTAGCATGTGGTGAACTTAGTTACTAATGTGGTGGGTATAGAAGGGGTGAACTTTATAGTTTGATAATGATAAATTAAATGGGGTGAAAATAGAGATTTGTGGGGTGGGAATAGCTCCACCCTTTCCATAAATCAAGAAGGTCACTTTAGAGCCTATTTTCTCATTCATTTCTTACTCGATTTAAGCAAAAAATAATACCACGTAATTGTCTTCAGGGAGTAAAACACGAACGCACAAATATTTACTCGAAACAAGGAGCAAGTCCCACTTTAATATAAGTTCAAAGTCAACCAAAAATCAACTAAAATCTGTTTTAGGTCAACAGAATATTGATAAGCTACGATTGAAGTTAAGTTTTTCAATTGTCCAGTGTCATCCAAGTAAGTTTTATTCACTGTATTTTTGTATGATGTGGGAAGCTACCTTTGCAATTGTTGTCACTTGCTTGATGTGTGCTAGTTCTTGTTCATCTTTATTCGGGTGTTGTATTAGGGGAGATTTAACTTCAGGAAATGTTTGGCCGGTGTGCAATCCTGCTGATAATGGCCATTGCCTATTAGGGCTATGTTTGTAAGATGTAAATTACTGCTATTTGGACCTTGAACCATTTATGAAGGCATGACTTCGTTCATGTTGTTTTTGTCAATATTTTGCTCGGTACTGCTTCTTTGTTTGTTTTTCATTTCTTGTGATTAGATGCAATGAATGGCTCAGGAGATAATGGACATTGTTAGTGTTCGTTGTCATTATCGTTATTATTGTGAACATTGTTGGTAGTTTTCGTCTTTGCCCTTGTTTTATTAACTTCATCAACTACGTTCTTTCTTTTATAACAAGAAAAAATTCACATCGATTCTTTGTTATTTGTATGGTGCAGGGCAATGCTGCTTCAGCAATTCTAGTTTTCAGTAAATATTGCACTGGGGACAATCTAAGGGATCACTTGGATGGGAGTATAAGGAGCTGTCTTATAGTATCAAAGGTATATCATCATTTAATATTGCAACTACAATATCCCAACAAGCCCATTGTCAAATAATTCATATGCATGTATGTTACAAAAAACAACAAATATAAGTCCTTTGGACTATGTTTGGCTAAATCTTACACTCATTATCTCAATCTAAAATTGGCATTTTTTTTCCTATTTTTTTGTATTTAAATGTACTTCTGTGAGTTTTAAAACTTAGAAACTAATTTTGAAATTTTTGTTTTTTTAAATATATTTTAATTTGCACATATCAGTCTCTCACTTTCTTTATCAGTTTTCAACTTCCTCAAAAGTCTATTGTGATTAAACTTTCAACCCCATTCAAGCTCCTCACTATTGTTGTCTATCTTTCCTCATCAAGTAATAAATTTTTATAATGTTGAATGATTTAATAATAATAATGCATTGATCTTATCAAATTAAATCATTCCAAATGACTTATATAACTATTCTCACAAAACTATTTTAAATTTAAATTTTGTATTTTCCTTGATTTAGCAAAATAATAAGTAACTTTTCAGGTTTTGAGTCAGTGTTGGGATGGGTGGATCCAATAGGAGTGGAGGTGAGGGTACGTGGGGATGATAGAATTGTGACAAGAGATATTGAAAATACCGTGGTATCGCCTTTTATCCACATTTGTATATAAATTGCATGCACATGAATTACTTGTGGGCAACGTACATAGAACCACTTTAATTATTTAATCAGCAGGCATGATGGAGCTTATGTGTTGTTCATTTTTAATTTAGGAAGTTGAGATGCTCGTGATGAGACTTGGTTTGTGGCGTGATAGGTTATCATTGATGAGATTTGGTCCGCAGCATGATACGCGTTCGTGGCAAGAAAGGGTATCAGAGGTAGTAGAGACCATATTTTCTTGGTGGTTAGCCTTTGATTTCTTCAATCATAATTGAGTAATGTGTATAGCATATTATTATTAACTGCAGAGCATTAGAGGAGCAGATTGTCGGAGCCATTTTATGTGAAGCCTTTTTATGTATCTGCTTATTTGGACTACATAATAGATAAATGTCATTTTGTATTGCAGACATGGAAAGAACTTTGGAGAAACGAAGAGCGGGATTTTTCCCCTTACCTGGAAATTCTCATGTCCCTTGTGTTTGATGCTGCTCAACTTGACCCAAATGTTACTCGGTTGGTTACAATATAGTTCTAACAAAATGTAGTTCCATAATAGTGATATTTTTAACATTTTAAAGTGATCTCTCTCTCTCTCTCTCTCTCTCTCTCTCTCTCTCTCTCTCTCTCTCTCTCTCTCTATATATATATATATATATATATATATATATATATATATAATGGGACTTTTCTGAAAAATCTCTATGATGAAGACACGTGTTTTCGGTTTTACTAAAGCACTGTTGCTAAGATCAAGCATCATCGGTGCATATGGTCCTCGCCCCCGAGGTACTGACATATAGGATCATACATTCAGTATATTTTTCAACCGGTACGTGGCCTCGGCCTGATATGTACCTCGGTCGGCATACCTCCCTCGGTCTCCGAGAGGAGCCTTTCCTCGGTGCCGAGAGGTACCCCCTCCTGGACGCTTCCTCTACTCCAGGATAAGCTATTGACGTGCAGGTCATTAGCCTAGGCTAGTCTAGGCTATTCATCATGACCTCGTCTTACACAAGTAATGTCAAAACGTACTGAAATAACAGAGGTCACAAGCAATAGGGGATGGACGCGTGACATATGATATCACATCAGGGACAGACAAACCGCATGTCGTTGCTGACACGCGACTTGGGAAAGCAAACAATTAATTGCACAATTCCCTTGATGAGACCGCATTCAATGCGGTAAGGCTCGGAAATGAAAGACAATAAATGCTCCTATTACAGAACATTTATTGCATCCTCCCCGAGAGGAGCACATTGTACCGTCGGCATCCCGACGACCCAGCATTGATTGCTCGGGACCCCGAGCAGTTAATTAGAGAAGACATTCCTCATCAGAATCAAATGTACACGCTACCTGTGCCTAATGATCACCTACTGACCACACTGACAGCAATCATGAGTTTTTAAGGTATAAATACTCCTCCCAAAAGGCAAAGCGGGTATGCAACAACAAACTCTCTATTACAACACACTCAGTGTTTCCTCTATCCTCTCTCTCTCTCTCAAAGACTGACTAGACCGTCGGAGGGGATACGCCGGAAAACACTCCGGCGCCCTTCTAACTTGTTCTTCTTTGTTCCAGGAACCTCTTCCAGTCTTACAGGACCGTCACTCCTTTCCCAGGGTCTCCCGTTGCCGTTCCAGGTTACCACCGTACCGTGCACGCTGTCCCAAGCAGCGTGTTTGGTCACTCCACCGGCTTACCCGAAGTTCACCAGGGGAGAGATCTGTTCTCGTTTTTTATATTGTGCAGGATCTTGCACGCACAATCTGGCGCCGTCTGTGGGAAACGACTAATTTACCTAGTCTTTTCTCTCTAAAGAACAGTGACCATGGTGAACACTCGACAGAAAGGGAAAGGACCCCACCAAAGGAGTCTCGAGTTACAAGCTCCCTGTCATCACGGAGGGAGGGATCACACCAACACGAATAAAAGTGCCTCTACTCGGTCAAGAGGAGTTACCCCTCAGACCAGTATAGGGATCAGGTCAGGGGGATCAGCCCCCTTGGCTCGTCAGCTGGTGGAGGTGATTGAAGAAAAATTTGGCGATAGATTACGTCAGCTGGAGAAGGACAATGTAAACGTTCTTAGTCGGCTCGACGAGTTTGCCGCCTCAGGCGGAGGGTCGAGGGATTCATTCCTTTCCCGTGGGCTTCCCGCCCAAGAGGCGGAAACGAAGGATCTAAGAAACCACCTAGACCACAAAGCAGAAAGCTCTAGGGCCCCAAAGTGACACAGAGCCGGCGCACATCATCATGACAACCAGTCCAGGAAAGCAAGGCCATTGGCCCTGGACGACCTACGACGAAGTTTGTCCAGACGGAGAAAGAGAGATGAATCCGAGGAGGACTCAACCCAATCCACGCGACGCCCGGGAAATGAGGGGCTTACCAATGAAGTGAGGGACTTCAGAAGGCATCCCGTCAAGGAAGAAGTTGATCTCAGAGCCCGATTAGACTCCAGGAGAAAAGGTAAGACTGTCCAGGATGAGGCCGAGGACGAAGTCATACAAACACCCTTTACAAGGGAGATCAGTGAGATGGAGGTCTCAAGAAAATTTGTCATACCACGGTTCAAAACCTATGACGGGCGGTCCGACCCCGAAGCCCATATCAGACAGTATAAGCAGATGATGTCCCTCTATCATTGAGACCACCGGTTTCTTTGCCGAGTATTTCCTATGAGCTTGGGGGACTCTGCGATGAAATGGTTTGAGACGCTTCCCCCAAACAGTATTGGGTCCTGGAAGGAATTGACTAGGCAGTTCCTGGCTCGATTCATTACGGGAAGTAAACGCCCCAAAGATATTGGATCATTGTTGACCCTCAGACGGAGGGAATCCGAAACTCTTCGCCAGTACGCCATCCGATACTGGGAAGAGGTCAATGAAGTAGAAGGCTGCTCGGAGGTCGTGGCAGCGGCATCTTTTCGGCTCGGCTTGGCGAGGGACACGGACCTATACCGATCCCTGACCAAAAAGACTCCCTCGGATATGGGGGAACTGATGGCCCAGATTAACAAGTACTCGAGGGTTGAGGACGAGATGGGAAGCAACAAAAACCGAGCCCTCCAATCCAAGAGAAAGGAGAAGGAGCGCGAAGATATTCCCCGAAAGGGATTGCTACCCCGTCCAGGGGGTTCGTCCAGAGGAGTTCACACTGTCTTCAAGGAACCCATCTTCAGGTTGCTCTATAAAATCAAGCACGAGCCGTTCTTCAAATGGCCGCCCAGGATGCAGAGCGACCCCTCCACCCGTGATCAAAAAGTTAGGTGTTCATATCACCGGGATGTCGGGTATCGCACCGAAAGCTGCAGGGTGTTCAAATCGTTCTTGGAAAGCCTGGTCCGAGACGGACATTTGAAAGAATACATAGAGCCTAGGCCAGAAGAGAGACGAGCCCTTGCCCCGACCGAGGAACCGGACAACGTCATAGACGTCATTCATATATGTCCGCTGGAGCGCCCCACGTCCAAGGAGCTCGAGTCCGACCTCAAGAGGGTAGCTTTTACAAGAAAGGTAGCCGAGGGTGATGTGGGGCCATCAAGTAAAAGGGCCAGGATGGGTGAGCTTGGCATTACGTTCTCCAACGCGGATTTGACAGGCGTGGTGATTCCTCATAACGACGCCCTTGTCTTGACCCTGAAGATAGGGAAATTCGATGTCAAGAGAATTTTGATAGATCAGGGAGCTCTTCGGAGGTGATGTACTTCGAAACTCTGAAACGGATGGGTCTTGGCCCCAAAGACCTCACCAAAGTCAAAACACCCCTCATCGGGTTCAACGGCTCATTCGCCTTGCCCGTGGGTAAAATCACATTGTCAGTTGCCACTGGTCCCTTTGTCATCGACACCGAGTTTGTGGTGATCGATACGGACTCTCCCTACAACGTGATTATGGGGCGAACATGGCTGCATGCGTTGGGAGCGGTCCACTCCACTTTCCACCAGAAGTTAAAATTCGCCACGCCCGAGGGTATCATGGAGATCCGGGGGGACCAAGCGTCCGCGAAGAACTGTTTTTATTCGGCCGTCCGAGCCGGGGCGTCCAGCCAGGAGAAGGGGCGAGCACCGGAAGAGATCATGGAAAAATAGCAATTACAGTCCGGGCGTCCGGGAATGGATGACCCCCGGATAGACCCGACTGAACGGTCGATTGAAGACCTCCGGAAGGTGCCCTTGATAGAGGGAGAAGAAGAGAGGTATTTCTTAGTGGGGACCTCGATGCCTACAGCCGAACAGGAGGAGATGATCGAGTTTCTAAGGGGAAATACAGACGTGTTCGCCTGGAACGAGATGGAAATGACAGGGGTAGACCCCGAGATAATCACTCACAGGCTGCATGTTGACCCGTCGCACAAGCCAGTAAAGCAGAGGCCACGACGTATGGCCCCGCATCACACCAATGCGGTCAACGAGGAAATAGACAAACTCCTGAGAGCCGATGTCATTCGAGAGATACAGTTCCCAGAATGGCTGTCCAATACAGTATGCGCAAAGAAGAAATGGGGGAAATGGCGTGTCTGCGTAGATTTTACAAATCTAAACAAAGCATGTCCAAGGATGACTACCCCTGCCAAAGGTGGACCAGCTAGTAGATGCCACAGCGGGTATGAACGAATGGACTTCCTGGATGCCCGAGCAGGATATCATCAGATCCCTTTCTATGTCCCTCGGATCAGGAAAAGACGGCCATTTATCACTCCGAAGGGAGTTTATTGTTACAAAGTGATGCGTTTGGAT